CCAGCAGTGTGCTGCAGCTGCCAAAAAGGCCAACACAGTGCTAGGCTGCATTAACAGAGGGATAGAATCAAGATCACGTGAAGTGTTAATACCACTTTACAATGCCTTGGTAAGGCCACACTTGGAATACTGCATCCAGTTTTGGTCACCGCGATGTAAAAAAGATGTTGAGACTTTAGAAAGAGTACAGAGAAGAGCATCAAAGATGATTAGGGGACTGGAGGCTAAAGCATATAAGGAACGGCTGCTGGAATTGACATGATAGCAGTGTTCCAATATCTCAGGGGTTGCCATAAAGAAGAGGGAGTCAAGCTATTTTCCAAAGCGCCTGGAGGCAGGACAAGAAGCAACGGGTGGAAACTAATCAAGGAGAGAAGCAATCTAGAACTAAGAAGAAACTTCCTGACAGTGAGAACAATTAACCAGTGGAACAATCTGCCTCCAGAAGTGGTGAATGCTCCAACACTGGAAGTTTTTAAGAAGAGACTGGACAGCCATTTGTCCGAAATGGTATAGGGTTTCCTGCCTGAGCAGGGGGTTGGACTAGATGACCTTCAAGGTCCCTTCCAACTTTACTATTATTATTATTATTATTATTATTATTATTATTATTATTATTATTATTATTATCCATGATGGTGAAAGATGCTGGAGGAAAGCTCACGTTTTATGGAAAAACCTTATATAGAGGAAAAAAATGAGTCATGTTCTGAACTACCTTTAAGGGGAAACAACATATATAGAAAAGGAAAGGAGTCATTCCACCAGAGAACTGAGATTGGGAAGAAAGGTTGGCAAATGTTTATCTGGCTGATTTGATCAAATGGAATGTTGTGATTCATGTTTTTTCTGGTTTGCATCATTCGTTGGGAAGAGCTTGTAATAATGATCACAAGTGGTTAAGGTGTTGGGAGTAAAAACTGGGAAACCGTGTGTTCTAGTCCCCCTTAAGCATGTAAGCCAGCTGGGAGCATCATTTTCTCAGCCAACACACCTCACAAGGTGGTTGCTCTCAGGAAAAATAAGAGGGGATATTCA